GGAAAGCGGCAGCTGCAGGCATCTTCCTGAACTGATTGTTCAGGTGTAGTATGCACTAAAGAAAAAGAGCAAATGTTCACTTTCTGTTGTTTTTATTCTACCATCGTACTTCACTCTTCCTCAAGTCACAACTGCAGGAAGTCAACAAGAATTATTTTTCCACATGATTCCGTAATTTGGCGTGAAATTATTCCTCAACAACACTATTTCTAATAAAACTAATTTATAATACTTTGTTTTCCCTAATGCAACAGCTGCTACTTGTACTGTTTGCCACAAGGATGAAAGGAAGACTAACTTGGAATTGTTGATTTTTTGTTTATTTTTGTCTGAGTAACATACTCTCCTGTATTCAGAATTACCCTAAAAGATCAACCCCTTATCTGTTAGGAGAAATTTAAAAACAGAACAACAACACAAACAACCTTGTTATTTTCTTCTACTTGCTTCTAGTTTGAAGGGTAATTATAGTATTAACTTTTTTTATGCAGGGCAGTGCAAAAGAGTGACATGTACATGCTTACTGAGACACAATTTAGAAGTCTCAAGATCACAGACTCAGAGAACATCCTGAGTTGGAAGGGACTGACAAGGCTCATCAAGTCCAACTCCTATCTCCACACAGGACCACCCATTCCCTCCTTTCCAAAGTCTTTTGCTTCCAGTTAATTTTAAGATAATACATACTTTTGCTAACAGCTATGTCAGTGTCAGCTGCAAAGGACTGGGAGAAAAGTCCTGATTTGGAACACTTAGGAAACTGCAAGCAAATTTTCTTCTGGTAGCTTAACTTATGATTACAGTCACTTTCCATTATCCAAGGTAATATGGACTAGTATTCTCCAAATAATTGGAAAGCTTAGGTAATACATAAAGATACTGTACAGTTCATTCAGATACTGTACAGTTCATTCTAAATGCAAAAAAAAATAATAAAAAAAAAAGCTTTAGGTAGAGCCAAACTAGAACTTGTTAAACTGCTGGATGCAATTCACCTCATCTTTGTGTAGTAATCTTGTGCTTCCTCAGAGGGCTTTTTAGCTCTCAGAGGGCAGTGCTAGATTCAGGCTGGTTCTGCATCTCTTAAGCAGCATGTTCCAACTGCTACTACAGTGCAGACCTGACTCAAAGTGGAACACAAGAGGTTCTATCTAAACATCAGGAAGCACTTTGTTACTGTGCAGGTGACTGAGCACTGGCACAGAGAGCTTGTGGAGTCTCCTCATTTGGAGATCTTCAAAAGCTGCCTGGAGATGGTCCTAGGCAACCTGCTCGGAGTATCTCTGAGCAGGGCGTTGGACCAGCTGACCTTCAGAGGTCCCTTCCATCCTTAAAAATTCTGACTGATAACCCCTCTTCTACTGAAGCCAAACTTCAGAGATACTGATGCTAGGCCACTGATACTGTTTCTGACAGACAGAAATGGAAGGTGCTATTGCCATGCATGCCAAGGATGGTACTTGGAAGTGACAGAACTGATCCTTAAGTTAGATTAGTAGAGCTCAGTTAAGCTTTTCCACCTGCATGGATACTTCACTTCTATGGATATGCTTGCAGTTAGCCTGTAATACTGCTAAAACACCCACTGATAATTAAGAGTTTTTTGTAATAAAAAATAAAAAAATAATTTTCCTTTCAGTTACTATTTCAAACTTCCAGAAAAAAAAAAATATATATATCTGCAACTACCTTTTAAAGAGACTTCAAAAATGTGGATTCCTGATTTCTGTCTAGTTTCAAAAAGATAAACGAAATTGAGGAGCGGATCTATCTTACTTTTCTTGAAGACAGCATGTAGTTTCTTTTTCTGCCAGATGCTGAAGAATATACACGAAGGTAGCAGAAATACTATGCACAACAGCCCAGCTACAGCAAGTGAAATTCTGATAATGTCCATCTGGATATTCTTCCCTACGAAGCAAAGAGCATTCTTTAAGAAGTGCTACAGAGCAAAATTCTACTGCACTTGAATCAGTTGACTTCCTTGTCTCCATTTGAACATGGCTGCTTCTAGATTAGTCTTGAATAATGGATATGAGAAAGGACTTTCTCATGCTTTAAACAGTAAGTGAAAAAGCTATAGTATGTTGGTCATGATTCCTCATCTCTGTAGGCAATATTACACAGTGACTCACCTGGCACAGTGACAAAAAGTGGAATCCCAGGAGAAGTGGTAGGTAGAATAGTGGCTAAAGTGGGGTTATCTGAAGTATGATTGCAAACCACATCTTTTTTTGCAGTTCCAGGCTTCACAACCTGGTTTGCTGAGCACCTGAAAGACATTTAAAGGGGAAAAAAAAAGGGAAAAAAAATAATGGAAAAAAGTCCAGTCAAGCTACAGCATTTATTTTTAGCTTACTTACTTTGTCCAGTTTTTACAGGAGCCATTTGGCTGGTCGTTAAAAGTTCCATAAAGGCAAGGCTGGCAACCTTCAACAGACAAGGACAGATATGTTTTTACAAGATGAGCATACAGAACAACACGTGAAACATTATTTTTAACAGCTTAGAGTAACTATGATCTACATTCACAGAATTACTTTTATCTTATTATGTTGCTCTAAGCATTCATGGCCAGTCCTTCCCCGTGCCCATCCCTGTGAGCTATGTACTCGTACAATACTTGGATAAAGTTTCCTACATGCTGGCAACAAAAGAAGTGTTATGCAGAGAACCAACTGGTGCGTGATTTCAGTGGGCTTGTCTGCTACTGCGCTCACTGCACACAGCATGCAAACTGCTGAACAGCACCAGCAGCTTTTATCTTAGGACATCCTCGCTGTACTTCTTTCAGAGATGTGCAAGAGGCCATGCTGTGTAAGGTGCTGGGGATGCAAGCGCATTAAGCTAGCAGGAAAGGCAATCTTACCGCTCACAGTGCGCTCCTCACCCATGCCACAGATTCTGTCACACCGGGAGCAGCCGTGGCCACCGCATTCGTACCCATCCTTGCAGGTACACTCGGCATCACTTGTTAGTGAGCACGCTTTTGAATACTTGAATCTTCCTGGAAGGTGCAAATGAGCCTGATGTTACAAACAAACAAACAAACAAACAAAAAGCAAATACACACAAACGAGTGCAGCAAAGGCCTGGGACCTTTACTCTTACAGAAATTAAAGCTGGTCAGTTCAGTGAGATGCAGCACGTTGCTTCACTGGTAACATCCCCACTGACAACGACATGACAAATGAGTGCTCTTTCTTCCTTTTTTTTAATTTTTTTTTTTAAACTTCCCCCAATCCAGGCGGAGGTTAAACCGGTTAAACCCCACCACCCCATCCGGACCCCCACCGCCTCCCGGTACCTTCGCACTTGCGGCACAAGGTGCAGCTGCTGAGTCCCGCGGTGCTGGAGAAGGTGTCTTTCGGGCACGGCCGGCAGCCGGCGCCCACCACGAAGGTACCTGCAGGGCCGAGACAGACAAAAGCTGCAGAGGGAGCGCAGGGCCCGGCTCCCCGCCACCCGCTTGTGCCCGGCCGTCGCTCTCACCCGCCGGGCATTCGGCGCCGCCGGGCGCGGCGCTCGCCAGCGCCAGAGCGAGCAGCGCCGCCGGGAGAAGCGGCCGCGCTGCTGCGGCTCGCATGGGGTCGGTGCGCGGCGGCGCGGACGCCTCGAAGTGCGCGCGGGGCGGAGGGCGCCGGCCCTTAGGGGCAGCCCCCGTCGAGCCTCGGCTGCGTCAGCCCGGGGGCGGCGGGGAAACCCCGGCCCTGCGGGGGTTTCCGGCCTGCCGGCGCGACCCCCGGACTCTGCCGGGCAGCGTTCGCCGCCCCCCCCCCCCCCCCCCCCCGTCGGGGCTTCCCGGTGAGGCCCGCGCGGAAAGCCCGCGGTGGGCTCGGAGGTCCGGCCGGTGCTGGCGGCCAGTCGGTCGCTGGGCACGTCCCGGCTCGAGGGGTGCGGTAGGGAAGGCACTGGGGGGGCAAAGGGGACCGCGACCGAGCCCGGAAACGGCGGAGAGCACTCGGGGTGCCCAGACAGCGCGCAAATACGAGACACAGCGCGAAGCACGCGTGGCCCTGCGGGCTCCGCACCCCGAGGGGAAGCGTCCCTCAGGCGCTCAGCGCTCAGAGCCTGATGCCGCAGCCCGGGCCGGGCCGAGCACGGCGGTGCCAGCCAAACCGGGGCCCGAAGTGGCCGTCGGGTGGCCCAGGGCTCGTCCGCGCCCGCGGGCCTGGAGGCACGAGGCCCCGGGACGCGGCCCCGCCCCTGCGGCTCCCCGCGGCCGCTCTCCGCCTGCGGCAGCCCTCGGGCACACAGAACCTTTCTCCACCTCCTCGGGAGAGGGGCAGGAGCCGCACTCGGTAGCCGGGAGGGTTTCCAGCCGGGACTTTCACCCTGCATCACGCTTGCGGTTGGGTGCCCCGTGCTTCTGTGCCTTCTGCACCGCCCCGTCACTGGAGAAGCGGTGGATGAAGTGGCTGCCGGGGCTGTGCTGGCTGGGATGGAGCCCCCTTTCCCTGCAGCAGCCCGGGCAGTGCTGTGCTCTGCACTCAGAGCTCGGACAGCCCCGGGGGCACAGCAGCGCTGTGTCGCTGCACGGCACCAGGACTCCCTCCAAGCCCCCCGGGGCCAGCAGGCTGCGGGTGGGCAAGTGATGGGGAGGGGACACCAGTCACTGATGGGAAGCAGAGAAGCAGAGAGTAACCGAGCTAACTTAGCTAACTTGCTTTTGCTTTTCTCTCTCTGTGCTTCCGCGCGGCTTTTTTTTTTTTTTCTTTTTTTTTTTTTTTTTTTTTTTTGAGGTTCTGCCTGGCGGCGAGCAGAAGCAGCTCGCTTATAAAGCCGCGTATCTTGTGCGATGATGCTGCCGCGAGTGGGTGACGCGTGAGAAAAAAAAAAAAAAAAAAAAAAAAAAAGCATTTCGTCAGCCGAAAAGGGGCAAACGAGCAACCAAAGGGGGGAGTGACGGGGGGGGCGGGCGCCGGGTCCTGCCCGAGGGGGCGGGCGCGGGGGCGGGGGCGGGGCCGCGCAGCGTCGAGCGCGCTGCGGCTGAGGTGAGTCGGAGCTGCCGCCCGCGCGGGGCTCGCTGAGGCGCTGGACCGGGCCGGACCGGGCCAGAGGAGCCCCCCCGGGGGTCCAGAGGGCGAGGAGCCGGCTGCCGGTTGCCCTTCGTGGAGGGAGTGGGGTTCCCGAGGCCGGTAGAGAGGTGCCGGGAGGCCCGGAGGCCTGCCGGGGTGTCTCGGAGCCTGGCGGCGGTCGCGGTGAGGAGGTCGCTTTCTTGTCGTCGTGGCTGAGCCGAAAATATCTCCTGCTGGGCAGCACGTTGGAAAGTGATTTCTTTTTGTAGCCGTTCTTTATTTTTTCTCTATCCGGCCGTTCTACGGTTTGTGATTCAGCCCCACCCGCCAAAAGCGACCATTTTGAGCAAATTGCATGCGCTGCGCAGGGGATTATATTTAGCTTCAAGATTTGGGGCAGCCTGTGCTGTTGGTGGCGCTGGGAAGCAAACAGGCTTGTATTTAATGTGTGCATACAGCCTGCTAAAGGAGGTGGCTGCTATGTCTGCACAGCTTGGTTCTGCCTTCCCAGGAAGCTTAAATCTTCCCCTAGTAGTGTTTGTGGCATGACAGGTATCCACAGAGGCACCCACATAACAAACAGCACTAAAACTGAGGAATCTGTCAGTATAGCAGAATAAATGGATGGTAGGGAAAGGTTGGGGAAAAGAGGTTTTAGGATCAGAAGCCTGTTTGCATCTAAAGAGCTAAAGAAAGAGAGGGATACAAACTACTTACCTAGAGTATTTTTCCCCATTAATAAGGAGATGCAGTATTTCTGCATTGGGGCTATTCAAGGTGTCTGATCCTAGTTAGTCAAATCTGTAAGAAAAATTGTCACAATAAGCATACACCATCCAGAAGAGCTCCTGCATATCTCTGGGCTGTCCTGAAATCATTGCTGATGATGTGAGTTCAGTGTACTTGCTCAGTTGGCCTTGTGTTGGACAGTACGTAAAACCTCACTAAAAGTGGGATTTGACACTCTGAATTTGCCTGCTGAGGCTGGTTCTCCATGACAGGGCATTCTGCTGCATGCTATTGCATTCTAGAAATTGTCTTTCAAAAAGAGGCTTACTGTAAAGACAAAACCTGAAAATACATGAGGTTGAAGCGGGGTGAGGGGATGGTTTTCTTTGGTGAAGACAGCTAAGTGTGGATCTCATTTTGAGAAGAGCTTCCAGGTACTCCATGTGCATGTCTGGGTGGAAATTCCTTACATAAGAAAAAAAATAATCTGTCTCATAGAGTTAGTGATCTGTGAAATGCCTTCTTTCACATTATAGATGCTTTCAAAGACTTCTGTCAGACCAGCATAAGTTAATGTGTGTTTTTACATGATATAGTTAAAGTTACTTTAACTTAACCTTCCAGTGGAAATTTGGTCACTCACCTCATGTGAATTTAAGAGCTAAAAAAAAATATTCTTAAGCCTAGTTTTTTCCATTTGCTGAATTCTGTGGTCTGCTCCCCCATCACACATGTGCACACAGTTCTCCCCCACAAAATTGTGAAATACCCAGAAAATCTATTGCTCAGGCTTTGCAGGGGCACTGATAGAGTCATTGTAAGTCACAGGAAACTTAATGAAGTATGCTGTGCGGAAACTAAATACCAGACATGAGGTCAAAGCTCATACAAGCTCTTTTTGTAAATGTTGACCTGGGTAGGAGTCAGTAGTCTGGGTATGAGTGAGGGTGTGCAAATTGAAAATAACCCTGCCACCCACCTTGAGCCCTTCTCTCTGGCATACTGAATTCATGTAAAGTCTTGATCAGAGCAACTTGTTTCTTGTTCTGGTGCTGATGGCCTGTGTCTCCCAGTGCACAAATGGTTTAATCTCTTAGTATTGCAATTATTTGTAAAAAGCTCTTTGGTTAAATAAGACTGCTATGAATATCAGTTAAAGCTAGTGAATGGTTTTGACATTGCTTAAATGGAAGGTAATGTAAAAAATGCAAATTTCTTGCTGCTAAACTTTACTGTTAGGAAGGATTTGTACTAAGGGATTTGCTTTTTAACCACATCACTCTCTGTCTCTCTGCCTGTCTTTCACCCCAACCCCCTTAGCTTCTTCTTTCACAAACTTCTCACTCAACAGCAGCCCCTTAAGACATGGCCTCGAAAAGAGCATTGGTAATTCTAGCAAAAGGGGCAGAGGAAATGGAAACTGTAATCCCTACTGATATTATGAGAAGAGCTGGGGTGAGTATGCAGACAATGAAAAGTCTTTTAATGAGCGCATGTTGAAGCGAAAATCTTTGCTGCAAATTAATGTTCATTACTGGGAGTTTAAGGTGTAGTCTGTAGCATATGGTGGAAGTTTATCTATGCCTTCTTACTGGTTAGAATTATTTGTGTTGTGCTCCGAATAAGCATACATAACAAGTTACGTTTGTGCTAAAGAAACATTTAAAATATGAGCTTGAGGTTAAAAGTGAACTAGAGCAGATGTTTCAAGTAAATCTTACCCTATCAAAACCCTATCTACTCCCATGAATAGCAGTAGGGTGTTTTGTTTTTATTGTAGGCATTTGACCAGCTCAGTATTCATCAAGCTAATGACATTACATAATTCTCCTTGAGCTTTTAAAATTGTGTTATTAATTTGAATTCTACCTAGTGGAATGTTCTTTGTTAACTTTTGCATCTGTAGTTGTACACAATATTATCATCTGGAGTTTAAGTGTTGCTCTGTTTTTGCCAGTTTTTAGTATTGCTTGGCTCATTTTGTGTACCATTTCAAAACTAATATCTAAGAAAAATGTCCTAAATTCTTGAATTGTAATGATATACATATTCTTCTGTTAGATCAAGGTGACTGTTGCAGGCCTAACAGGAAAAGATCCAGTGCAGTGCAGTCGAGATGTCTTCATTTGTCCTGATGCCAGTCTAGAAGATGCAAGAAAAGAGGTTGGTCATCACCTCAATTTGGTATAATGATCAATAAGGCCTTTCTTACAATTTCAGGAATTAATTCTTAAAGCTTATACGTTACCTTTAGAGATATGTTGCATGTTCTCTTCTCTCCGTGCCATAGTGACTCAAAGACCTGCCCATCCTGCAGTACAATTGTCCCTTCAGTGTTGTTCTGCTTCACAGCATGCCAAGATCAGATTTCATAATTCTGAACAAGTATTGTCTTTGTGTGCAGTGTCAAACATAGGGCTTTATTTTTCATGTTCGTCAGCATGCCAGAATATCATGATTTGGAACAACAAAAAACTTCTGATGGAAAGCTAAGCAACACTAAAGAAGGTTCAGCAAAAACACTTGTCCTCACAGTGCGTGAGCTGCAGTTTGCTTGCTGAAGCTCGTAAATTCACTAGGCTTAGAAATTTGTTCTGTGACAGACTTCATCAATAATAGGCTGCTGCTGGAAAAGGAAATAATATGTTGTTCCATAATTGAATCTACCTCTGTGTTCTTAAAGTGTCGTTCAGTGGAAGAAAAGGCAGATCCATTTGCCTCACACTTGACTCAACTGTACTGTCCTTAAAACAATAGGACAAATATACCAGCCAATGTTCAACAGAACAGTTTTGTCTTTTGTTTGTTTAGGGGCCTTACGATGTCATTGTCCTGCCTGGAGGTAACCTCGGTGCTCAAAACTTGTCAGAGGTAAAGTTCTGGTATTTTAAAGGCTGATCAGCATTCTCATGGGTAGTAGGTGGTCTGCACTTGTTTAGTAATTCTTCAAGTTCGGTACGACATCTGAGTAAATGAGTAAGAGGTAGGTAATTGTTAATCTTAAGCCTTCTTGCATATATGCAGGGGGACAACTCTGTAAATTCTTGGATTTGAGTGCCTAGTTAAGCTGAGAAAAAATGGAAGACTGCTCAAAATTGTGCAAAGGTCTTTCTTCATAATCTCATGAAACTGAAATAATTGCAAATGAAGATTTAGTTACATGAAGACTGAAACAGGACAAACCCAGAGGACTCTGTGCTTTTACTCAAGAAGTCTCTCTCTAGTGCAAAACTGTTGTAGTATTTATGCCATGTGGAAGGCAGGCAGACAAACGAGTGATCTGTCAAATAGCACTTGGATAATATCACACAGTTTGTAAGCCCTGGAATGTGGGACAAATATCTGTTATAAATCTTTAAGAATGATGCAAACTATCTGGAGGTGAATGCTCTGTCCTGTTTGTCTCATGAAGTTCTTGAACAATGACTTCCTGTGGCCATAGAATAGCCTGCTTTTATGTAGGTCAAGGATTTCCTTGCAGTTTCCTTCTGATTTCCTTGCAAATTGTTTGCAGGGGAAGTACTTTTTGGTTTCAGTTTTTCTTCCTCCCCTTAATGTTTTCATTGCCCTCTGTCCTGAGTTAGGATGGAGAGTTGTCAGCTGTTTCTGTAAATCTTGCTCACAAATTTGCAATGGAAAATATTTCAACTATGCTTCATATAATCAACCCAAATCAATGACTTCCTGTATCTTTGTACAGTCTTCTGCTGTTAAAGACATTTTGAAGGATCAGGAAAGCAGAAAAGGCCTGATTGCTGCTATATGTGCAGGTTAGTCAATAAAATATCTTGCGTTGTAAAATATTTGGATATTGAAACTTGGATATACTTGAAGGGGCATACAAAGAGTTACCCTGGCTAAGGAATCTTTATTCCTGTAACTTAGTAGCAGAAATTTGTACTATACGCAAATACAAATTTGAACATTTGAATTTTGTGCAAACTTAGCAGGAGGAGGTCTATGGAATATTGTGAATAATTATCCGGCAAGTTCTGCAGTTCTGCTTAGGTACCCAGTTCTTTCCAATTGGTTAGGTTAGTGTCTTAAAAATAAAAAAAGTTTTTTTTTTTTTTTTTTTAAAAGTTCTAGGATTTTTTTTTTTCCAAAATACTTGCTTATTCTGGTGATCTTTCTGTAAGGACACAGTGCTGGCAGAACATCATTACTATAAATTTGTCTCACATCTTCTCCTCTGCCCTTTAGCTTCAGAAGGGAGGCTGTAAATATAGAATTACAGACTCACTCTTCCTCAGCTGAGTGGAAGCAGAAGATGGAATCACTCTGTGGAGAGGGTTGTCTATTTACATATTCTGCACAGCCAGATATCTAGTTAATTTCTTCATGAAATTTGTATGTGACATCATATGGTATGGAATATCCAACTGGCCAGTTGGGGTCATCTGTCCCCTCCCAGCTTCTTGTGCATTCCCCTAGCCTCTTTACTGGCAGAACAGCCATGAGAAACTGAAAGGTCATTGACTTAGTGTAAGCACTGCTCTGCAACAGCTAAATCATCAGTGTGTTACCAACATAATTCCCACACTAAAAGCACCAGCCACTAAGAAGAAAATTAAATATCCCAGCCAAAACCAGAACAGCAATTGAACTGAGAGGTTGGCCTAGGTATGTGTAGGCAAGCATAAGGAGAGTGATGATGAGTTTATAAAATACATTATAACAGTGTATTTATGGAATATTTTTCAATCTTTTGGGGGTCTGGTATATAGATGTTGTTTCGGTTTGGTTTTGGTTTTGTTCCTCAGTTGGGCAATATGCATACAGAGTTGTTAATATTCTTGAATTTGGCAGTGGTGGTCTTCTACTCTTCTATCCATATTTGTTGCAGAACAATTACAACTTCTTAGTTGCCCAGTAAAGGCTTTTGCTTGTAAACAGGAGAGTTCATTTATCTTGGGTATAATGCTTCTCAGAGCTGATTCCTAGCTGAACACAAGATAATTTCCTGGACTATATCAGAAATGAATCAAATGTGCAGAAACGAAATTTGCTTCAAGCAAATCCTATATTCAGTTTCTTTTGGAATTCCCCTAAGGATTTTCTGTTGGGTGACTATAAGACTTTATACAAATTCCTTCCTCCTCCTAGGAGGAAGTGAAGAAAAGAAAAGAGACTGTTAAAACCCAAAACTTAGCTGCTAGCCCATCATCTGTACAAAATACTTCTTAGCATACAATTCCAACATGTAATGGCCTTTTCAAGTGAAATTTTATTGGTTAGGTCTCTAAAGTCAAGACTCAGCATTGTAGTAAGATAACTGTACCTAATTAATGTTCAGATTACAATATAGACTCTTCACTACTTAACTTCAAGCAGTTTTTGAAATAAAAAGTGCAGTGACCATTGTTCTTGATTCTTTCATAAGGCAGCACAGTCACTTGGTAGGATAGGTGCTTAAACTGAGTGTTCTCTAAACTTTCTGTTCTTCATATGCTTCTCTGTACAAGACATTTTGTATAATAGAATGGGAGAGAGTATACAGCTATAGTTCTTTTTGAAGCTTTTTGCTTCAGAGGTAAAGTCAGCATCAATTTTATAAGTAGTCTTCCCACAGTGAGATTTAGGCCTTTGAGGGCCTAGTGCCTAAATGTATGTTCTTAAGTGTTTGTAGAAGAAAAGTTCCTCACAGATGCAACTCTGTGTCCATACAGGTCCTACTGCCCTTCTGGCACATGGGATAGGGTTTGGAAGCAAAGTCACAACACATCCCTTGGCCAAAGATAAAATGATGAATGGAGGTATGTAATTAATTTTATAGGTTTCTCTCTAAACCCTTCTCAGAAATTATTTTAGCTGAACTCTTCATGTGAAGAAAGGTAAATAACATTTGTATCTTATTTTGTATCTCTGAATTTCCTTAGTTCTTTGATGTACAAATGCAGTCTGACTTCCAAAAATAACCCCATGGGAGCCAAGAAGCACAGTGAGTGCTTCTCAATGAGCTTGTGGAAGCAGAGGTGTGCTCACATGCCATGTGAATAAGCTGGCAGAGCTCTCAAGGGGCCATTTTTCTCTCTGAGGACCATGTGCAGTGATGGGTTGCTTGGTTCTGGAGGGGTAGGGATGCAGAACCCAGAGTGGGCTTGGCCCGCATGGGTGTTTGAGATGCATACTGTAGAGCATGATGATGTTGTCAGAGGCCAACACTGCTTAGTTGCCATAGCCTGTGGGCAGTGCCCTGTGGGAGACAGCTTTGTGCTCTGTGGCATCTGTGGATCTGTGCTGGAGACTGATTCTCTTTCTATTCTGTCACCACCACCACCCCCAGCTCACTACTGCTACTCCGAGAGCCGCGTGGAGAAAGATGGGAACATCCTCACCAGCCGTGGCCCTGGTACCAGCTTTGAGTTTGGGTTGGCCATTGTTGAAACACTGATGGGGAAGGAAGTGGCCGAACAGGTGAAGGCACCCCTAGTATTGAAAGAGTGAAGAGTTGGTGTGGGACAGGGATTAGAACAATTTCAGAAGGAGAATCTTATCCTTTGTAGAATAACAAAAAGATGCACTGTTGTAAATCCCATTTAATTGCGGTTGAAATTAGCAGCAGTACTCACCTGTATTGGGACGTCTTACAAACTAGTGGTCTTTGTTCCTGGATCCTGTTAGCAAAAAGCTTTATCACTAAAAAGAAGCCAGCTTTTAATAATCTTATCTCTTGGATGGCATTTAAAAATCACATGGACAAATGTTTAGTGATAAATAAAAATGAAGCAACTCTGCTTGTGTGGTGTTTCTTTGTGTTTTCTCCCATCCCAGACCTGTGGCACCTTTTTACCATCATGGCTAACAATGTACTGTTCAAAGCAATTTCTATCTAGTATTTCACATTGTTCTTTTGAAGTATGAGCCCAAATTAATTGTTAAATCGTAACCTATAATTTGTTGAAAACACTATTTAATTTGCATTATATAAATAAGGCCAATAGGTAATCGTCATTCTAATGCAGAATGTAACTAATTCTAATGTAGCATGTAAGTGGGAATGTTCTCTTATTAAGCAGCCTACAGTTCCTGTAGCTAGGAGCTTGCCCATGCCATTGATACCATTTGATTTTGTTTTCTAAATTAAATGATTGTGGATTCATCAAGCTGTTTAGGCAGCTAACCATCAACATAAAATACGAAGTTTTGGACTTAGCAGTTTACCACCAGAAGCAGTGCTTCTTTCTGCTTTTTGGAAATGAAATTTTGCTTCAAGCCTGGCTTAAGTGAGCATATGCTGGTTTAGAGGAGTTGTTGGATAGCTCTGTAGAGGAAGTAGTACAGACATATTTCCATGAGAATTAAGAATTTGGGAACGATTTTTGTCTATTACCTTTCATGTACCAAGTAACTATATTCTGACTGACAGCAATAATGCTTAATGACACCTCAGTGAACTCTGAATTTGCCACAGCGTCTAGAGACTCGGTTTTGCATACATCTGAAGTGTAGTCTGAACTTCAGAAAATGACTGCATCGGTTCCTTTACGATTGGTAATTTTAAGGGAAAACAAGTACAAGTTGCTTCTCGTTTACTGCATTTTGATAATGGAATACATAGGTACTTTTGCATGCTTAGAATTAACCAGTGTCTCTGTAGTGTTAGTATTTACTGGGAGAACTCCTTTAGCTATATGCTCTTCCTCCAGTTTGTTCAGAAAAGCTTTCATATTGTCACTAGCTTTGAAATACGCTCAAAATAAGCAAAAATTGCAATCTGTTTAAGACTGGACAGGCTTGTTCATTACATCTACATGTCTAACTGGTATTGCCATGCAAATGTAAACTGAATTATGGAGAGATTCTTCTGGAACCTGGAATAACCATTTGTTTTGTAAATGGGCATGATTCAGAATACAGGAAAAGCTGTGCATTTCTGGACTGTAGTACTTTATAGCAGTAGAAGGAAAATATTTCCATGCTTGTATTGCATTTAGGCTTCCAGAAATATTTTATTACCAAGCATTTAGTATTTTATTTTTGTGCCCAGTGGTGACAGGACAGGAGTGGGCACAAAGTGAAGCACAGGAAATTCCGTCTGAATGTATGAGGGCACTTCTTTATTGTGAGGGTGACAGAGCACCTAAAAATCAAGGAACGATTTTAAGTTGGTATGGGTGATGCCAAAGACCAAGGGGTTGTAAACATAGAACAGGAGTCATCAAAAAAAAAAAGTGAGCAATGAAGTAAGCCTGGAGATGTGAGTTCAGCGAAAGTAAGAGTAGAAAAACACTGCTGCTCAAGAAGGAAACTAGGAATAATGCAATTCTGAGATCCTCTACGAGCTTTGCTATTAGCTTTCAAATAAATCTCTTGGGGCAAAAATACGAGGTGTCCAAGGACAGCTGGAGGATGGGAAGCTACACACCACGGACAGGGGAGATCCAACGGGGATGGGAGGAGAAAAGGGTTGGTGCTGTGTTTTTTTTTGTTGTTTTTTTTTTTTTCTTCACTGGGGACTGCAGAGCATTGAAAACCTTAAAATAATAAAGAAAAACGTAGCGGCAGGGGGCGCCTTAGGGGAAGCTTGAACGCCGGGTCCGGGCCCCGCCGGCAGCGTTATCGCGCCCCCGTGCGGGGCTTGGGGGGGCCCGGCCCGCGGCACCCCCGTGGCTTTAACGCACTGGGGAGGTGCTGTTGGCAGCAGGAATTTCCTCGAGTGTGTGTGTCTGCAACCAGGAGGCAGGCCTTGGCCTCTAGGTTTCAATGGAAGGGTCGTGGCCACTTGCGGTTTTCTTTGCGCGCAACAGTTGTAGAGGGAATATCGGCTTTTCTGAATCTGCAGGGCTGTAGCCAGCAGGACCGCCTGCATCTTGTTGTGTTGCTTTAGAACATCAGTTATGTTGCACTGAATTTCCCAGTGTAAAGCTCAGGCTTTGTAAACTGTAAATTGTAAACTGGACTGCTTATAACACAGCAGCTTTACTTATTTTACTGCTCCAGGCATGCAGTAGCATCCTGCCTTATCAGGGAGACTGATTTTGATTAAAAGTTTGTCCAATTAGGCTCAGATGACAGAAGTATGACCTGAGAGAGGTAGTAGGTCCAGAACACCCTCGACCAGCAGCTTGCGAGACTGAGCAATCTTGAGCTTACTTTTGTGCGCCTTGTAGTGTTATCTAAAGCTATGATTGCATTGCTGTCTGTCTCCCTAAAGAGGCAGTCTGGGCCTCCGGTTGACTGGGGAGCGATGGGGTACATCCAGCACAGGGCATCATATGACGAAAAAAACCTATAGGAGAAAACTGCATCTGTCTCCTCACCCCAAAGACATATGGATGTTTAGACTCAGTCTTTAACAAAACTCTAGCATGAAGTCGTTGAACTTGAAGCTAGGTGCTAAACAGCTCATCCTTGCTTCAGGCTAGCTCCTCAGTTTTAGAGCCCCATGTCAGTCCTCCATCAGACTATGTAAAAGGCAGGAACTCACCTATCACTCACTTCACTGCCATCTGTTTTTAAAAGCTCGTATCTTAGACAGGGCTGTCTGTCCCTGTGGCTTTTAATTAAATGACCACTCCATTTTTTAAATTATTATTATTTTTAATCTTAAAACATGATGAGACAAGACTCTGTGAGAAGACATTCCCCTGCCCCTAAGCAAAAGCAGTTCAGGCTATTTTTAATCTAATGAGCCACAGTATCTGTCAGGGTGTGCACGTGTGTTCTCAGCTCCGCCCTGAGTTGTTAGAAGCCTCTGCATTGCCACGTGCGTATTGGTGCACTGAAGTGATGTAGAGTCTGCATCATAATAATACAATGCCAATTCAAAATTGCTTGAGCTCTAAGTGCAGGGGTGTGCAGCCAGGATGCAGGAAAGCTACTTGAATAACTTGTCAATGATAGATGACAAATGAAGTCACCAGGTGCAACCTAGTATGTGTCTTGGGTTTCCTCTGGACCTTGCTCAACAGCCAGTAAAGGACAACACATATCCTCCCAAAGGTCCACCTGCTGTCTTGCCATGCAACAGCTGGACACAATGTGGCATGAAATGAAGTGGTCTTTTAGCAGGGACTTCTCTGAAAGGTGTAATTTTCCTGAGGACTTTAGGCCTGAAGACTAAGTATGTAGAGTTGGTCATACGTTCCTGTTGCTTTCCAGAAAGGTACTTGGTAATGCTGACCCTGCCCTTCAAGTTGCTGTGAGAATAATAAACATTTTTAAAGGCAAAATAAATTATTTAGGTAACAGGAATACACATCTCTGTCACCAGGGTGGATGGTGGACAGATCATTCTTTGGGGTCAGGATCATGTATCCTATGCTCAATCCAGAGACTTTGTGCATTGAGGGCCTCAAAGTTTTCAGGCATCATGATAAAACACTTAGCACCCTTGAGTAGATTCAGGGTGGTGATGGTGGGGTAATTTGGCATGTTTTTTTTTTTTTTTCTCTCTGACATTTCATGTCAGTATATTTGCACTCTTCACTGTGGATTCAGTCATAAAGGTGGGTGACCTTGAGAAAGAAGCTGCAGGTTTTAAACAGAGAAGCTACTCTTCTTCTGAATCACTTTGTAAGGAAATGAATAGCAGTAATAATTACCATGTTTCAGTGGCACACCACTTAAAATACGGAATATAAAACACCTTTTCCAAAATTAACCACAACTAGGATCAAGGTGCACACCAATATATAAATAGTAGAGCAACAGTCTATGAGCAATCACAGGTGTGGCTTCCATATGTGATTCAGAAAAAGTAATGAGCTGTGTGGTTGAAAATAGGCATTTGGGCGGGGATTATGCAAGGCCTGAATTACAATGCAGGATGGGTGGGGATAACGCCTCTTTCAGTTTATACAAATACTAATCACAAACTCAGCAGCCAGAAATCTCTGCAGTGGTATTTAGCAAATATTAATAAGTATAATTAAATTTTGTGTGCTAGATTTTCATTGCTACAGGAAGTATGAGAAACAGAATCTTTACCATATGTTTTATGTTTTAAATGAATAGAAACAGGTTAGGAAAACAAGTTATCAAGAAAATAAAACATTAGGCTGGACTAGGGGGTTGGGGTGGGGAATGGGCAGTTGTAGAAACATTTTCTACAACTATTAGAAGTGTTCATAGGGGCCACAGTCTATACTAATGATTTTGATGAGTAGGAATTGCACCAAGACTGGTGTGGGCATCATCTTAATCCTGAATCCCACGATTAAGCTGATATACTATCAGTTTGGACACCATCAGCAGCTACTCCCTACTGTAATAACTGCCCTTGCAAAATTGGTGACTTTGTCCTGGACTATCAGGATACTTTCCTTTAACATTTCAAACCTACCACATCATTCAGACTTTTAAAAACAAAACCAAGGCTGCAGCAGAAGGAAATGCAATTTCAGACAGCTCTTTTTGTGGTATTTGTACAGTAGTAACTGTGCCTATTGCAGTTCAGAAATGAATGGAAAACTAGGAACAGCAATGCCAATGATCAGTAATTTTAAACTATTAGGAATTTTTCTATCAGCATGCTCCTAAATCAGATGGGGAAATTGTAACAAATGCACCATTTTAAACTGAAGACGTGTTCAGTTGTTAGTCTTTGGCTTGTATTGTGCAAATACCAAGCAATAGCAGCTCAATGTGACATATAATGAGCTATAGGATGGCTCAAACTTACAGTTTTACTTAATCCAAATAGTGCTTTTATACATCCAGTAGCACAGAATGCCTGGGCTAGCCTCCCTGTCAAGATGTCAAGGTTTAATTTCTCTGTGTACACTAGGCACTT